TACTTTCATTCGAGCGGCTGATCTATACGTGATGGAAAAAAGAAAGCGGAGCTCGCCGAGATTGGTGGCCACCGTTTTAGGATATCCTCGGCGCGATCACTTTTAAATTTCTGCGTACGCCGCCTCTGCTGCGGCTGCTGGCCGCTGCTGCCCGATCTTCTATCCTTGTAGCTTTAACCGGCCGGCTGTCGCAATCTCCTTGAAAAGGGTGTAAGTTGCTGATAATGATATATAATTATATGATGATATATAATTACAGTATACATATATATTTGATAATATATATATATATATATATATATATATATATATATATATATTTGATTTTATTTATACTTTGCTTAAATACAACACTTTTATGAAATATATAATTCATAAAGAACATCGAAGCATCGAAGCTAGCTGTTTTCTACGGGTATACTCGACACGAAGAAGTGGCAACATTTTGTGTTACGACGAGCGTTGCTCGCCAGAAACAGCTAACTGGTTAATCGCGGATCGAAAGAGTCGCGGGCCTTTTAATAGGCGTGATGTCACGTGTATTCGAACGCTGGAAGAGAGAAAGATATCGGGAGGAATATGGAAAGCAACGACGGATACTTTTAGAGAAAACGTTAAAGAAAGTGGTACGTCTGCAATATGGCTAGAGGATGTGCGATCTTCAAGTACATCTAAATACGTAGACGTACTTAGAAAGAACATTTTCTGACTACGAAGCAAGTCTTTCGAACTGGCGGTAACAGATCACTGGAGAAAATCTGAGAAAGACGATTATTGCATTGGGTCGGTGAAGCGGGATAACGTAAAGTTGTTTCGTTTTTCAAAAAGATTTCGTTTTGTAAGGATGTTTTATAAGAAAGCATTCGATTCAATATTTTGCCAATAAAAAACAGAAGCTGTTACATAAGATTTCAAGGCTACCAGAAAAATGTCAAAAAAATTTTCTTTACTCTGAACATTAATCCATTATCCGCCGATGTCCCATTTCTGGGACACTTTTCGAAATTTTTTCCTTTTAAAAACTGCAACTTCTGAATAAAATACAGGAATTAAAATAGTGAGAATATATCACGTGTGCTCCACATGAAAGTATTAAGAATTCTCGCTATTTCGTTTTTAAATCATTGTAAACTTCAGGTTGAAACTGATAATCTCAATTTAATGTATTCTTTTTTTGTAATTTTGAATTGCGGCGGGTAATGGGTTAAAATTATTACTATATTAGAATTAAAAAACAACTTTATAAACGATCCAATATATACATTGTAACGCGAACTACAAAATTATATTTATACAAATTTATACCTGTGCGAATTGATTTTACTGTTCGAACGTTCGCGATCTATTTTCTAGTAATCATCGCCTCTCAACAGCGAAATTTCCACTGTACACTATAATCCCACGAATTATCTGCAATACAAACAAGTGTCTGTTTTACGGGAACACTAACCGGGTATTCATCCCGGTTGAAAACCGTTCGAAGCTAATCTGGTACAACTAACCGGCCAGCCGAACGCTGTTTATCTTATTCCAAATGCCGAAACAGTTTCACATGTCGGAGCGTAAATTCCGGCCGACTCTCGTAAGGCAGGTTCATTACATTAATGACCGACATTACGGAACTAGAAGCTAGAATCCCATTCCGCATTTTTGTCCGCGTGTTCTTTCTTTTTACGCGCGTTCGTCAACAATGAATAATCGAGGGGATTACTAATTACACGGCCCGGGGCTTGTAAAAATGCCGGTTTAATGAGCGCTACACCTATAAGGACGGAGGATCGTAGCTCCATCAACCTGCTTGCGCCTGTTTTCACCGGGCATACCGAGATATCAGTCTCCGATATCTCGAATGAGATCATTTGCCCGGGAGAGCGTACGGGCGGCGATCTGTGCCGTAGGTGTGCGGATGTTTTTTCATGCGGATGAAAAGCAGGTTGCGCGGCAACGGCGGTTCCGATAAATTATTTAAATGAATTGTTGAGATACGCGGGAGAGCCGTGCGCGGTGCAGCGCGGCGCAGCTGCATTCCGTAACCGGCAGTGGTGTATGGCACTCTCGATTTAGTAAATCGCGGCGATCCGCTCCGTTCCTTCTGCGTGTCCGCCGATACTTGCGCGAGGAGTAACAACGAAAAAATGGCGGAACGCCGCGGCGAGAAGTCAAAGTTTTCGCATGGGAGCCGGGACTCGCGCGCGAGGCCCACGCGTGTGCGAGTGCGAATGCTCGCCGCGCACGTGGGAAGCGAGCTGGTAAGCGATGATGCAACCTGGATATAATACAGATGCAAATATAAGTCGGTAACCGCTCGCATATAATTACACCTTGCTGGATTTAGTTTTACGACTGTACAACTTCCAGCCGGAATGGTTCACCTTTCTGGCATCCGACTTTTTCCCCGCTTCCTTTCCTTCGCCAATAAAGGAATCTCCGTCGCGCGCCCGACGAGAACGATTCTTACTTTCGTTCGACGACTGTTCCATGTTTATGAACGGCGCCTCGTGGGCGGCCGATCGCTGTTTAAATGAACTCGAAACGATGGTTACGGCCACGGAGATTTCATCGGCGGAAGGTGTCATAAAATAGATCCGTATGGATCCTCGCGAGGCCAGCTCGCAGCTCGGCTCACTCGCAGCCTCCTCGTTCATCAGTTTCCTTCGGGACGCACTTCTGCGAAATCGACGTTGATCCTTTCATTGTACTTTATACAGATAATGACATCAGTTATTAACTTAATCGTTATTATCCCTAGCATGCTTAAGAGATGATCAAAAGATGTGTACAAAATTTTAAACATATGTATTTTTGTATTTTATATTTCAATATTTTTTATATTTTATATTTTATATTTTCTTTTGTATTTTAATATATTCTATTATTTTTATTTTGTATATATTTATTATTTTTATTTTATTTTTAATATATTCTATTTTTTATATTTTATATTTTCTTGTATATTTTAATATATTCTATATTTTTATATATTGTATATTTTAGTTTCGCAAGTACCTAAATTGTCATTTAACAGTATTGTAGAAACAAATATATCTCGAGCAGAAAAAAATTATATTTATAACACTTTTTCTCTCGTGGATACAAAATGTCACATGAGCAGACCTTCTATTACCATAAGCGTCCTAGGATTAATATAGCATGGAAAGAAACATTGCAAAACAGGAGACAAACTCAAAGTGCAATTTCTCTGGCGGCTGCGTTCTCCGTTCAGAAAATAGGTAAAACAGGCAAGTATGTGTAAGATTTAATCCACAAACAATTACGATCGGTATAGGCGAGGTCGTCAGCCCCCACCATCAATTATCGACGGCGAAATGGTGGGCGGATCGTAGATAGGATGAATTGGTCCTAGTGGAGACGCCCGAGAGCAGAAACGAGGTCGATGATGGCCCATTACATAACTCGCTGGAGGGTCCACGAATATTGAAACGGTGTCATCGATAATAATAGGAACCACATAATTAATCGGCAAACCAGCCATCGACTGAAATCGTACGGTTTCGCAATCTCCGCCGAATAAAAGACTAGAATCCACAAAAACTGAACGCGCCTAAACAAACAGAGACTTTTTAGGGCAACTCGCAACCGGTTCCCGAAAAAGGAATTAACGCTGACGGCCGGAGTCGCAGTTTTGTAAACATTGTATCATAATTCTATTATTAACAACATAACAAGTATATCATAATTGTACTATTAGCACTTTGACTGTCGCGCGCGTCGCCCATATGCGGATAAGAAAATTATTTAAAGTATAAACCTTCGAAAATTAATTTTTACGCCGATCCATTACAACTTCTTAATTTTATTAAGAACTCGCAAAGGGGTAAGATCGTTGTGAAAGTAATTGTAACTCTACAATTAACTTTACAATTAACTCTACAATTTGTTGGCGTGGCAGTCAAAGCGTTAAATGACTTCAGACATTGATATACCACGGACCTCTGTGCAGAATCAGCATTTTGTGCATCGACTGCAGGAAACAGAAGCTGCATTGTTCTCTCAACAGTTCGGGTAAACGTAACACAGCTTTTCAATTTTAATTTGTTTAAATAATGTACTTCGATCCGATGAAATTTCTAACACTTTTGGCGCGGCCGTCAAAGCGTTAAGATCGGCCGATCAAAGGAAGAGGAAGAAGCCGACGACAACTATATCGTTGCGTTCAAAAGACAAGAGAGGGTTCGGCCGGTTCGGCAAGTAGTGCCAGCTCTAGCATGTTAGCGGCCCGCGTCCCGATATATTTACGCGAACGGGGAGACTTCGGTAAAACGGTGGCATCGGTCCAGCAGCCACGCTACGGAAATAGATTTCGGCTGCGGCAATGCAACAGCTCCTTGTAGACGAGCGCCGCCGAGCAGTCGGAAGCAGCCAGTACCGTGACGACCAGTTCCCGAGGAAAACCGGAGAAATCGCCTCCGCGAGGTCCCCACATGAATGTGAGTGCGAATATTCCTTTCACGAGTGCGTTATCCGGTGCATCGTGGCCGCCGGTAACGCTCTGATACGGGCCCGGAGTGCGGCTTTTGTTCTCCGTTTTGTTGCGACGCCCGTGGTGCATCGGCCTGGAAGTTCGCGCGGATCTTACGGCCCTCTTCCTCTGGGACGCGCGTCTTCCGAGCCCCTTCTACTGGCCCTTCAACGACCACATCGGACCCTGGGACTACTCGAATTCGTTACCCGAACGGGAACTACGCCCGCAGATCCGCCGCTTTTTCGAACGCTGTCTAAAACTTTGGTCTCGTCTTAGGGAATTTCTGGAATTCGGAGACATTCCTTGGGCCAGATATTTCTCGTTAAAATAGAAAAGCATAAATCTTTTCGGAAGTAGGTTAGTGTATTAGGCTGGGTCGTAAATAACTGGATATCGGAAAGCTATACAATAGTAGGCGATGAAGGATTCGAGTAAAAAGTGAAACAGAAGCTGCTTAATGTACTTAGCTTCTATTTTCGGACGCGCGGACCCAATTTCTACGAGGTTGTGCATTATGAAGTACACTTGACAGCTATTAACGCATCTGTCTGCCGTGTCTGCCTAATATGGAGGACGCGCTTGTTTGTACCAAAAATTGATTGCTCTTAGAAAAATGCTTTGAATGGTTTTAAACCGTTTAAATTAACTTCGGTTCCAAGCGAACCACTTCGACTTCAAGGAACTTTTGGGGCAATCGCCGCGTTCGCGATGCAGCGCGCTCGCGTTCGATGTTTCATTTATTGTTCCGGGATGGAGATATTTATGTTTACGTTCTCGACGTAAATTTCGCCGATCTCTGGCCACGCTCGAAGCATCGGTGACGTCAAAAATTCGACGGGCGTCATTCCAGCCGAAGGGATCGAAAGCATCGTCGGCCGAGCCGACGCGATGCAATTAGACATTGCGTAAAGGCTCGTTAGAGGCTTCGCGAGGCGGTTTCCCTTGTTCGAGAAGGCGATCGCGACGCGACGGTTCGACGGGAGCGGTGATTTCGCCGGTTTTACTTTCGCCAGGGGGGACAAAAGGCCATCGCGCGCGAACGGCCTGGCGATTTGTCGCTGCGAAACGCGGCCCGAAACACCGGCCCCGTGGCGGAAGTACAGCTGCGTGTCGCGCTCGCGGTGAACCGGAAGCGGGACCAGTTTGTTTACGGAGACACGCGATGCCCGACTGATGAGCAGACAGCGACGCTATCGCGGCGAAAGCATCTGCAGGCTTCTTTTCTAGAAAATTACAGGGGAAAACGAGTGTTTACGAGGCGTCTTGTTTCGTTAAGTAATCGAGGGACTCGCGGCCGCCGCGCCATGATGGCGAAGTGGGGGGAGGGGGGAGAGGGAGAACACGCTTTGTGAAACGTGTCAGTGAGACGCTCTCCGCCGTGTTTCGTTAATTACTCGCAGCGAATAATTAATCTCGCGTCGCGTCGGGGACGATGTCGGAGCGGCGCGCGAACGCGAACGCGGCCAAAGCGCTTGTAACGCGAAATCCCGGCGGATGATCGATCGGCGGTAATAAAGCAACAGGGAACATTATTACATAGTTAGAAAAATGTATCGCGGAGGATCTCTATCGGCGGCGTATAGGGCTTGGACCACCTCCAACTTCTGCAGACTTTAGCAATTTCATCGAAAAATAGTGGCTCGTAAAGCGCAGCCGGCACCGATCCCCCCGGATCGCCATTTAAAATTATCGCGTCTCCACGCGAAAATTCCGATACGGTTTGGCCGCTTGAATGGGGCTCGGTTCTCAACCGTGATAAGCGGGATCGGTTTCTCGCGCGCGCGACGGGCGCGCGTTTCTAAATTTATAATTCTTGGGAATCAGGTGCTTTGTTTGCTCTTGCATAGGACAGAATAGCCGCATAGAACAAAAGAGACGGAGCCGTCGCGAAGAACAGAAGGGGTAAACGTTCTAAAGATACGTATGGCTCTAATTCGAGGTTTCTAATTCACGCGCGTGGAACACGCGCCGCTCGGCCGACTGGAACCGCGGATAGAATATTATTTTTCCGACAGGGGCTTTCCGTCGACGTTCCACAATATTATCGTTGGCCGGCCGCAGCGAACCGCTGCCCGCGAATAAATTATCATTTTTCTCGTTCGAACGCACGCTAGAAAAATATTCCGATATTGCATCGGCACGAAATCCCGCGCGGACGTTCAGTCCGGTGCACGCGGAACGCTGTATCCGCGCGGGAACGTTAACGTAATCCCGATACAAACGTTGAATGAATGCGCGAGCATAACCCCGCGATATTTACGGATTCTCCGCATTCGTGTCGAGACCGGCAGAAATATAGTGTCGCGTGCCATTCGGCTCGATTTTATTTCGAGACGCGGAACCACGATTTTTCCCTCCCGTCCCGCATAGACGCGATTTCCGTCGCTCGTCCGCGCGATAGAATCGTCTAGTATGACGTCAGGCTTTCTCGAGGACCCACTCGAGAAATCTCGACGCGGCGCATCCTCGAAATTACTCGGCCACCTAATCCAAGGTGCGATGACATGAATTCACGCGCCGCTTGGCAGCCGACGCCTGCCAGCTTGTCTCAACGCCTCGATTCGTGGTTGCGTGTAAAAACGCGCCGAGCCGATAAACAATAGCCGCGCACGCACGCACGCACGCTTCTAGAATCGCAAACGGTGCACTGTTTACCAAGAACATTTAGGGCGACGTACGCCGACTGACTTTTCGCTGGCCGGCCGACGAAAACGTTTTACAATCCTACGAAATATTATATTATTCCGTTAACGTCGGGAATTGTAATTTGTTTTGGGAAACGTGCCGCATAGTTGCGCAGATGTGATACATTGATTGCACTCGGCAGTTAAAGTATAAATATAAATGCGAGAAAATAGCACATATAATATTGAAATTTATGTACACACTCGCGTTTCTCACAGTTACGAGGCAACATGAGAAAATACGGTCTCAATTGTTTGCATACGTGCGAATGTTGCGAGTTTATCTCTATGAGCAGGCGAATCTCTGTTGCAGAACCCGGGAGCTGAAAAATGGCGCCCGATGGCCATTTCGAACCCCTCGACCCGGTTGCGCATGGCAAGGTCCATGCCCCATTGGGTAATGGTACGTATGTACTGCGTCGTTGTAATTATGACCGTTTAATCAACGTCAGCGAATCCCGTACTAGTCATTTGTGATTAGGAAAACATTAGAGCCTTGGAAAACATTAGAACACCTTGGCGAACAGTGCATAAAGATACTGTGCTACTTTATCGACAATGAACTGTTAGACCGCGAATGTTTACTGTTCTTTATTTCATCTATACGTGTTTGTTGTAAGTGGATAAAATCCGTAATCTCGATAGAAATAATTTTGTTCAAATTCGAAACTTTTCATTGTTCGAACAAACACCACACATGTTTACTAATTTACTACTAGAAGAAACTATTCTCTTTGTCCCTCTCAATTCATTGTAATTTATTAATCTTAGTCTAGACAAATAATGGAAAGACTATTTTAGGAGCCATTAGCAGTCATGAAACAGCACATTCATAACAGAGACCACACTTTGGCAGTCAATAACTTCTACAATATTATGTAACTTAGAATTTCGCAGACATTTTTAAAGAGTTAGACTACTATATTCTGCAAACAAAAACTGATTAACCGTTTTAGTGCCGAAGAAAATTCATTCGAAATATTGTACGAATAAAATTTGAGTCTAAGAATTTATTCGAAATATTTCTCGAATAAAATTCTATTCGCAATATTACTCGAAACAAATTTCATTCGAAGAATTTATACGAAATATTTCTCGAATAAAATTCTGTTCGCAATATTACTCGAAACAAATTTCTTTCGAAGAATTCATTCGAAATGTTATTCGAATAATGCATAACTCTAATCTGTAACGAAAATAAGAAATAACGTTAAGACAAGCGCTATTACGCTGTTCACCACTTTTCTATCGTGTTTTCTGAATAATCCCTGGGACTCAAACGGTTAACGATGACGCTGTCGCAGGCCCAACAGCAGAAGGAAGCGGAACATCAGCATCAACGACGACCGCCGACCCCGCCGAAGGTGCCACCACCGTCGCTTTCCGGCGACTGTGGTGACCCCGACTACGAGATCATCGAATTTCCGACCCGACCGCAAACCCAGAACCAAAAGTCCTCGACGCCGATCGCGAACGCGAACAAGTGTGCCCTCTGCGGCACGAAAGACGTCTTCGCCCGTTGCGACACCTGCAAGGAGAACTACTGCGAGGCCTGCGACGACATGAATCACAAGCACCCAAAGAGGAAACACCATGTGCGCAGGAGGATCCTGACGGATCTCGCGACAAAAACGCGGCCGCCGCTGCCGCCGAAAGGAGAGAACATGTCGAACCCACCCCCGATACCGCCGCCGAGGCGAAACCGCAAGACTCAGGTAGGATGCGTTCTAGCCTGAGGCTTTGATCCCTTTCCGTGAAACTTTCTTCCAGGACGATTGGTCGGCCTTAGGTACGCGCATCCTCGAGCCGCAGTCCTGCGTCGGGATCAAGGGGCCGGACACGATCGGAATCATCGGGAACCAGGTTGCGAGATACTGATTTTCCTTTGTCGAACTCGTCCCCTATTAATCATTTGGCTCTTTAGAGTTATTCGATAATAACTGCGCTGAAAATTTCACGCGATTTACGGGAACCGTGGCTGCGTAAACGTTGCAGTCTCGCTCCGAAGGGATCTCATATCCAAGAAAATGTCTAAGGGAAAGATCGCCGCGGCTGGAAAAGTGGAGCAAACTTCCAGTATTTTAGCCGCGTGATCCAGATTTTGACGGCGCCGCAATTTATCCCTGCTAGGGATTTCACCCTTCTTATTTCATAGCGAAGATGCGGAGAAGCTGAAGCACTCCGCGAACTGCCGTTCTAAGTCACGATAAATGAAATCTGGGATTATTGCGACCTGATCGAATTCTTGATTCGCATTCGCGCAAATATCTGCTGCGCAAAGATAAATACGGCTGATTTTCCATGGAATTTTCCAGTCGCAACTTCGTCCGCCGACGATTCCGATCGTTCTCCACGTTGTTTGAGACACGCTCGTGTATCCTGTTCCCGTTTTACACGACCAGATTGTTGATTTCTAGAGAAACGTCACACCGAGGCAACGAAGATTTGTTAATAATGTGCGTCTAGCCGCAACAGATTTTTAATACACGTTACGCTGCTGCTCCGTAAACGAGCAGAGGTTTTTAAATGTATATTGTCGTTGGTTTCTTGTCGAATACACCACGTTACCGCAAAAACACCACTGCCGTATTCACTGATCCCGTTCCGTCACTCTTTCACACAGCTCTTGCGACGAAGTAACGGGCGGGAAAAAACGAACAGGGACGTAGTAATTGACCCCGCGGGTCGCGGCAGGAATCATCCTGCGCGGAATCGTGAATATGGCAGAGCATGGTGAAAACACGGCGGTTCGATTTTCTCGTTACTATGTGCTACTCCGTATTTCCCGTACCGTTACTGGTACAACGAATACACGTTTCATCTACGTTTTAATACAGACACAGCCGATTCTTTTCAGCCGAGTACGTTTCTTTAACCGGACGCATCCGTCTACGATTTCCATACGAGTTGCGAAACCAATTTTTCGTTCTGTCCGTCGTCATTTTATTTTTGTTCACTAACGCTTTCTTTATTTACCGATCCAGCCAGCCGTCTAATACCGTGCGACGCTTCAGCTGCGACAGACACGCCACGACGGCGCAACGTGCTCCTCCGTTTCGATCATGATCTTTCTTTTCACCGAAGTTTATTTTGCCGATTTTTTGTACCGATTCTGTGTCACACGATTTCGTCACACGACGCCAACTAAATCCTGCCGTAGAACCTCCACAGTTACCGAGAACAACACTGCGAGCGGTGTTCGGTCGCAGCTCGACTGTGTAATAAAGTTCAGGTTTCCGCGCTTAGGCTAAATCGACGCAAAGCCAGGGACCCACGAATCTCTCCTTGATCGAGAGAGTCGGCAGCTTGAAGCGAACACTACCGAGCAGGCCGCTATCGGCAACTCTAGATACGAAAACGGTGTCGAAAACCATGCAGTCCGCGAAAGACGCCGCAGCCGATGGGTCCGGACCGGGCACCGACAAAATGTCCACGCTACAGGTAAACAACGACTTTCACCGGCCTCGTGGACGATCAGACACTTCTGCGTTGCTCGCGCATCAAATGGAATTTCGGTTTCGAACTGATTCGATAAAACCGCGATCAACGAAACGATATTTCGTAAACTTTTCGCGTAATATTTTAAGAAACAAATATCGTTATCGAGAGCGCGTCATCCTACGATAAAAAGAGCAACATTTCGAGACAATGCCAGGCCACTTTTGTCTTATACCAGATCTTTTGTTATCTACATATCGGACTTCGATTATCCACGCATTTTGAACTCATCGTTTTTGTTAAAAATAAATATTATTTGCACCAATTTCAAGGCGCAACAGCCACACGGAAATGTTATTCTTCCGTTATTAATTTAAATGAACTGAAATGCACGCATATAAACTCATTTACCTTGCCTACTGCTTTAAATCGCACTCATTCATTTGTGTCGTAAACACATCAAATCAGCGGTCTAATAATGAGAAAAGAATGAGATCATTCTTTAAAAAAATATAACTAAGCAGAAGTATGCATTTGATACGATCAACACGTGGATCACCAACAACTCGGAACTAATTCGGCGAAGATTAACAAAACAGATCAGAGTATTGCTTCCAGATTTAAAAGCATTAGCGCAATGAATAGATCCGATAAATCCTAGCAAATCGCTGGTAAAATCTTCGATGATACTGCTACCAATGAAACGTTCACGCAAGCACGCGGACACCAAAAACGGCAATCAATGTCTGATCGTCTACGAATAGCTGTAGAATGACATATTTAAGAAAGAAGGAAACAAAGAGCTGCGTCTCTTCAGGAGAGATACAGGAAATACCAGGAAGCGATGCGTGCTCAAGATGCGACCAGGCGGAGGCATACTTCCGGTGACATTTCGAGAGATCCGGTAAATTCGAGGCCGCTGAGTATGGGCAGTCCAAGACCAGCGCCACCAGTGCCGCCGCCGCCTCCCCCTAGATCAATGATACAGTCAGCGAGCGTTTGCGATTTATCGTCGCCGCATATGTGGAATCCTGGAATGCATCAGGTAATTAGCGTTAAATATATTCGACTTTCAGATAGCCGCCGACGCTGCAAGCCGCGGAATAGATCCTTATGACTGGACTGCCGATCCTTATGCATTCCTTGCGTACGAAGTTTTAAATTATGCTTTCAGTACGGTCTCGCTGAAAAAGAAACATAGTTGCAGGATAATTACCCGGTCCGATCAAGGTTCTGGTCCAGATTCAACTGCTCTACCTTACATTTTTTTTTACATATTTTCTTGGCGAACTGTCACACAAACTGGAAGAGAAAATTTGCATAGATAAAATACTCGAGAAAAACAATTTTCCAGGCCCAATCCATGGCTCACCTAGGCCCAGGGGGCATGCCGATGATGTGGTACCCGCCGACTTGGGACATGACCATGGGCGGCTCTACGATGAGCCTTAACCACCCTGCGATGTGGGGCTACCCCATGGGCTACCCTCCATCCCAGATGCTACCACCTCACTATCCAAGCTCGCTCTCGAGGCCGCACAGTCCAGCGAGAAGCATGAAATCCAGCAGAAGATCCAGGGCTGTTTCACCGTCACCGAGCATGAAGTCCAGGAAATCGTTGGCCTCTAGATCGCGATCGAGGAGATCGCAGGGATCGCCGTCCGATGCGAGCTCCGAGGACTCCGGAGACTCGGACTTCGACGACCGACTGTCTCGCAGCTCCAGAGGCACGAGACGGGGCAGTATGTCTAGGAACAGGCAGAGGAGCTACCACGAGGACGATGGCAGGAGTCTGTTGGCGAGGAACCGTTGCGAGTAAGTTGACAGCTGTGCTCATTTTGAAGGCCGAAGTTTCCACATTCGCGCTCTTTTACTCTCCAACAAACGATTTATCCTCGAAGCAAATGATTTAAGGGCGGGTTCTGGTCTACGAGGCTAAAGGGGAGGTCAGTTTTAGGATTCTTTTTGTAACAAAAGTAAATAAGATGATAATCTGAGGTTTTCGATATTTAATTAGGTATTTTTTCTTTTTTTCTGGGCAATTATGTAAGTTTTCATTTTTTTCTAATTGTGAAGAATAAGCGAACCTCATTCTATAGAGGTTATCGAAAAAAATAAAATATATTCTTAAACTGCATTATATTTCTGCGACGGTGATCTATGAAAGTGTTGCAAGATTCTTCGTTTTATCATTTTAAAGTCATCAATCACTCTTTTGATCAATTTTCCACAATTCCGCATTCATTAAAAATTAGTAAATTTGGAGAAACTCGAGATATTATAGAATCACTGTCTGCAGAATATTATATATTCTTTAAGCAAACAATTAAATTGATCCTAAATTATAAAATCCTAATTGATCTTAAATTAATCCATTAGTTTTCAAGATATTGTCGCACCGGTTCAAAAAATGACGTAGCGAGAAAAAGACGTATAACCTTAGTAATTTCTGGAATTTCGACATTCCTTTTAATCACATATTCTTGAATGATCGTAGAAAGTAAAGAGCGAAAGAAAAAAGGTCGACTTCTTTAAAGTCCTAGACCGGAACCTTTCCCGCTTAAAACCGGTTGTCGACCGATCGTTGTATCAGCATGTTTGGTTTTGTTCAGGCGAGTGATGTCAGAGGAAAGGGTGCTAAGCACCGAAGAATGGTCCGAGAGCCCGAGCAAACGGCACTCGAGGAACTACGAAGACCTCCCGAAAAACACCCTAAGCTCCCGACGACGATACGACCAAGACGATCGCAGGGTATCGAGGCTGGATTCCCGGATCGATCGCGTCCAGAACGGCGGTTACAGAGATCGTCGAAGACGAAGCACGGACGAGGAGTCGTCCGACAGGAGATCCACGGTGCCGACTCGATCCAGAGTCACCAGCTCCTCGGACGATCACTTCGACAAGGTGGAAGCCGCGCCAAGAAGAAGGGACGACGAGCCAGTTCCGAGAAGAGCGTCCTCCGTGCGCAGGGACGTGGGATTGGAGGAGTTCGATAGATCCTCCAGGCGAGATTCTAGGCGATCCTCCATCGACAGCGACATGCAAACCCCGAGGAAAGCGCCTTCGCGAGACTCGTCCTCCAGGAGGAACCAGGAAGCCGAGAGACTGGATAGAGAAGAAGAGGAAGGCGTATCGCGATCGGTCACGAGAGCTCAGCGAAGTCGAGATTCGTCGCGCGATCGGGAGATGCTGAGGAGAGAAACCGTGAGAAGGGAGGCGTCGTTGGAGGACACGGAGAAATCTGTCAGGCGAAATTCCGAAAAGGCGTCCTTCGAGTCCGACAACCAAAGGAAAACGCCATCTCGCGAGCCTGATCCTAGAAAGCTCCGGGAGAGCGCGGGTCGAGAGACTTCGAGGCCGAGCAGCATGAACCAAGAAGCTGAAACTAAGCCGGTCGAGAAACGAAAGGAGGAGAGTCCTCGGAGGAAGGAGGACCAGGTGGTCAAGAGCCCGGAGAGAAGAGTCCCCGTGGAGAAAGAAGCTAAACGCGAGAACGAGAGTGCTTCGACCAAGGACGCCGCGAACGAGTCGAAGGTCGCCATGGAGATACCGAAAGAGGAATGGGCCTGCGAGCATTGCACTTTCCTGAACAACGAGAAGGACCGCGTGTGCGTGGTCTGCTGCAAGACGAAAAGCAGCGCGTTGCCGCCTAGCCCCGAAGACACCCAGGACGAGGGCCCCGTGAGCGAGCCGCCGAAAGCCGAGTCAGGGACAACGTCGAGCATCCCGAGCGACCCTAGCCCCGACCTCGAGAAACGGGCGAGCCTGTTAAAGATCTCGAACAGCGAAGAGAGCGGGGACAGTGGCTCGGCAAAGAACAAAGGTAGAGCTAGGCGCAAAATCAGCTTTTCCTTCGGTACCAAATCGCACCAGTGACCATGGCCCCCCTTGTTGCTGCCCCCGATCTCCGAGTGTATCTCCCTTCTGTCCCTAGTCCGCGAGGCGTTCAAGGCGTGTTTCTACGTTGGACGAATCTTCTCTGGTCTCTCCCTCTTTCTTTTTTACAAAATTGCGCTGGAACAGAATGGATTATCCCCGTTGTCGATGTATACCCTTGGACGAATAATAAAGAGACATGCACACTGTTTCGTACGCAAAGTCCACTGGAAACCGAATGCACAGTCGTATTTGAAACGAAGCCTGCCATCCTTCTCTCGGCCATGTCTTCTGATGCGTTATTATTCATTCAAGAGGAGCTGCGTTTCAAGCACGACCGTGAATTCGGCTGGTGTTCATTCGATCCTCACGGACGCGCCACTCTGACCGATCCCGAACCACGCGAAGATCGGGTCAAAGTGGTGGCCACGATCGTGTCCCCTCTGTTGGAAACGTCTTACCACCTTCTCCGGAAGGTGGTCGCAGGGTACTTTGTGGTACGGAACGCTGTTCACGCCGCCCTGTTCGCCCTGTGAATGACGAAGTGACCTTGAATTTGCAGATACCGCGAAGCTGGAAGAGCCGTCTGCGGCCGTTGCCGAGGACACGCACCCGAAATCGCCGTCGGTAGCGAAAGACGCGTCGTCATCAATTCGGAACGGTACACCGGCGGCCATTGAGAGCACGCAGGACGCTTCGGTCGGCGCCGCTGAAATGAACGGCGAGGAGCGCGACGCGACGTCAGCAAGACGACCGATGCTCGCGAAAATCCCGAAAAGCCAGTCGGTTTCCACTGGAACGTCCCCGCCGCCTCAGAGCATTTCGACTCAAGTAAGAAACTGTTCCGAAGGAAACGTGCATTGCAGCTGCTAGCGGTTTCTCTTCGGAGCTGCCGAACACCGGAGCACTGCCGAACGCGATAAAACACTCAAAGAATGGTCGATTTTTAGACGTACGACTATCTTCCGGCTAGAGGAAACACGGGGCTCACGAGAACAGCGTCGTGCTCGAAGGGGCTGCTCTACTACGACGACAGCGACGTGGAGGTAAAACGTTCGGCAAAAGATGAAACCGTAACCGCTGTCCAACTCGTCGCGAATACAAATATCGGAACGAATAGCGGAAAAAGATATACGTTCGGAAAAAGAAGTACGCGATGAAATAAAGAACCACGCGCTCGCCGGCCGTTCCACTTTCCTCGAATTTTTTTTTCAAATCCGCCGCGTATCAAAGGCAAGGCTCGCAATTAAAATATCCCCGGTTATTTTCAAACTCGTATTTGGACCGCGTTATTGGCCGGGCCTTTGATAACTTGGCGAAGTCTGCTCGAACTGTGCCGTTCTTTGCGCGAGCCAAAAGCGCCCTTAAATTTTTAATGGCGCGGCCCGGAAGCACGATGGCGCGCGGCTAACGAACGGTTTAATGAAAGGAGCCATTCGGAGCGTTTGTTTCAGGAGCCAACCAGGTTCGCGAACAGCCCGGACCTCTATCCGCGGAGCCAGGAGCAGTTTCTTCAGCAGCTGATCGTCGGCGCCGGCAGGGATCGGACGCGCCGGAATTCGATCGACTCCAGCCATCTCTATTATCGTTCCAGGGTAAACTTGCCTGTCCCCCGAGAGCCAACGGTTTCTAATCCCGCCCAATCCACGCTCTGCTTAACCGTTTTAATCTGTAATCGACGTTCGTTTGAAGTTTCCGTAGCCTCGGTGTGAACGTAGGCAGGATCGCAGCCCCTGTTCACCGATCTTGTTCACCGGCGATCATCTTTGCTTCCGTAGACAATGATTATTAATATCTCTGTGTCTGGTTTGGTTGGCGAAAGAATTAATTCCGATAGTTCACCTCCTATAGAGCACACGTAACACAACCGTCGCCGTTTGTTGTCGTCATCATTGGATCGAGGGCATCTTACGACGATCCAACCCTTCCGAACGATTCTCCGCTGTTCGAATCGTCATGCATCGCGTTCCCTTCGCTGTAGACTTTATTTAAGGGGGTTAGTTAGCCGACCGATGAATTAATTTCATGTTCCAGGAGCCGAGCCAGTCTAGATTCCTCGAGGCGGGCCCTAGTTCCCAAGGAGTTTCAACGTTGACGCGGCAAGGCTTAGAAATTGTCGAACTTCTGCGAGAAGCCGAGAGGCACGGTTACTCTACCGACGACGTTCAGGTGGCTTTATCGCAGGGCGCTAGCAACCCCATCGACTGGCTGAAGGCGCAGTGGCCCCATTTGGTAGAGACGGTGCAACTTCTGGCAACTACTCAGGGAAAAGAGCTGAAGGAAAACAATATCGGTGCGATCACCGCCGCCGAGGCGAAGGAGGCCTTAAGATTGGCCAAGGGCGACGTCTGGAACTCCGTCGCAGTCGCCGTACAACGTAGACAGCAAAAAGTGAGTACTCTGCTGCAAACACGGAATTTTCGGCAACAAACCTCGAAGAAAAATTTATTGGCTGGATAACGTTTTATCCTTCGAATCGGCAGAATTACCTGTCACTTGCTCCTCAGAAATGGTTCTACAGAAGGTTGCTATTCATCCATTTTACAGCTTAATTTCACTAATTATGCCTTGTAACAATTTATCTACATGTCAATGAGATTGTCAATTATTATTCTACACTGAAACGGAAATCTTAAACATTTTTGTCTACGTAATAATTCGAAATGAAATTTTTTATGATATTAGAATGACTTGTTGTCAACAATTTATTAGGAGGTTCTTGTGAGTAAATTGCAGATTCTCAAAGATTATATAATCATCGTCGGTAGATAACGCGTTGATATATCAAGTTGGCAATGTAACGATAGGTACGCGAAAAATTTCGTAGAAAATGGGTCGATATCGACGGGTAGAATCCGGTCAGGAGCAAATATGTAAGTTCTCCGGTAGGCCTGAAGTGTTCCGAAGTTTTCGCTGACCCGGAATTCCGACTGACTTCCACAGTGCGAGGAAATAATGAAGAAAGGCAACTTCGCGACGGCGGAAGTTGTGAAAGCGCTGGAGAATAACGCCGGTGCCGAGGACGCAGCTTTATTCGAGCTACAAAAGAATCAGCTCAAGCCGTTTTTGATGAGGATCTGGGGTCCTCCGGTTGGGGTGGAGAATGACGAGGCTGCACCGCGGGAAGGTCAGCGAATATTTCACCTTAGAAGAATAGCGATGGCGTTCCCTCCGCGGCATCGGAAAGCTTTTGACCGGGCCGATGCTTTTTTATCGCGGGTCCCTTAATATTCCCCCTTTTCGCCGTGGAAAATGAGAGGTTCGATTCATAACGAGAGGAGCCGCTTAAAAAATAACTGGTTCCATCGAGACCGAGCGATCTTTTAATCTGTCTGGACACTTCGGCAACCAAAAAAATCGCGCAAATTGCGATTTAAATCTCAATCGGGCAGCGCTAACGTGACCCTCGAATTGAATTATCGAGACGCAACCAGAGCGCCGCGCAGAATTACACATTTCTGCAAATCTCTGCACAAAAAAACTCGGTTATATTTTAGATTCTTCGTATTTTTTCATTTTGTTGTCTATACTTTGAATAAATCTTTGTTAGACGTTTTCGTTTACTAGCCAACTTTGCTAGTCGAAAAGGAGGATTGTTAAGCGAGTTCGTAGTTTCGGACAGCTATAATCATCGTGCATCATTGTTCTAGATGCGGTCGGTGGTGGTACGGGTGTTCCCGAACAGGTTTCCAACGTGTCGGACTCAGAAGCGCGGAAGCAGGTAATGTCACCAATTGTTGAAAATTTCGTGGCGTTGCAGGCCGACTTTCAAAAGCAACTGGCGGCCCTCAGACAACTGACCGATAACTGGCAACACGATAAAGACCCCCTGAACACACCCGGTAATAAGCCTGATAATCTGTATGAAGGTAACGCTGATGACCGAACCGTTCTAATCGATAAAAATCTGGTCCCAAGCGCCGTACAAGACCTTGATGTAGCCGAAGCCCTAAAAACGCCGGAGAATCGACACGCGATCGGCCCCAACAACGATTCATTGCAAACGACCATAAACGAAATTCATTTATCTCCTAATCCAAACAATACCCTAGTTCAAAACCCAAAAGCATCTGCTGATATTATTAATCAAAATGAAAACGCGCATGTCATCGTAGAAAAGAAGGAACAAACCTCGGAAGCTACGGACAGTTTACCGAAAAACGATCGATATAGAAAAGAAGTAGTTGAAGTGATTTTAGATCCTGAGAAAGAACCGGAGACCAAAAATCGAAATGAGAAAACAACCCCGGTGAATATAATCGATAAAAAGGAAAAGCAAACCTCGAAAGCAGCAGAAAGTTTACCGAAGGACAATGAAAGGAAAGAAAAAGTAGTCGAAACGATTTTGAATTCTGATAAAAAACCGAAGATCGAAAGTCAAAATGAGAAAACATCCCCGGTGAATATTATTGTTGAAAAGGAAAAGCAAACCTCGAAAACAACAGAAAGTTTACTAAAGAACAATGAAAGTAAAGAAAAAGTAGTCGGAACGATTTTGGATTCTGATAAAAAACCGAAGATCGAAAGTCAAAATGAGAAAACACCCCCGGTGAATATTATTGTTGAAAAGGAAAAGCAAACCTCGAAAACAACAGAAAGTTTACTAAAGAACAATGAAAGTAAAGAAAAAGTAGTCGGAACGATTTTGGATTCTGATAAAAAACCGAAGATCGAAAGTCAAAATGAGAAAACACCCCCGGTGAATATTATTGTTGAAAAGGAAAAGCAAACCTCGAAAACAACAGAAAGTTTACTAAAGAACAATGAAACTAAAAAAAAAGTAGCCGAAACGATTTTGAATTCTGATAAAGAACCGAAGATCAAAAACCAAAATGAAGAAAGAATTTCGGTAAATATCATGGAGGAACAGAAGAAACAAATCTCAAAAACAGCAGAGATTTTGCCGAAGGACAGCGAAAATAAAGAAAAAATAGTCGAAACGATTTTGGACTCCGATAAAGAACCGAAAAATAGATCCACTAAAAATATTGATGAAACAGACAATGAAAATTTAGTGTCCGCGCAGCATGCTTTAATCGGCGATTCGAAGAGCAGCGACGTTCAAATTTCCGCGACGAAAGTAATCAAAATGGAAAAAAAGCAGGCTCCAAGACCGTTAGAAAATTCACTGCAGGACTTCGATGCTGCGAAAGTGGAACAAACGATTCCTGATCCTGATAAAGGGACGAAGAATCGATTCGCAAAGTTGCCAAAGGAGAAACTCGAGACCGAGGACAAAAGTAAGGAAGGTGCGGTAGAAAAAACCGGAACAAACGCCGAAGCAGATAAAGTATCGGCGGCAGTAGAATTAAAAGTACTACAGAATTCGGAGGGAAATAAAGAACAAACGAGGAGGTCAACTTCGGAAGTAGTCCAGAAGGAGAGCAAAAAAATACTTCCGCAGGATGTAGAAACTGAAACCGCGTCCCAAGAAACTTCAGGTCCCGGTGCAGAGGCTGCGGAAGCAAATGCGGGATCTCTTTTACCTGGAAACTCGAAAGTCCCTACAGAATCGAGCTCGTTACCAGACAATTTCCAGCAAACAGCAACCGAACGATCGAGCACGATAAACGAGGAAAAATCGCAGAACGAAACAGTAATTAACACGTTGAAAGACTCTGTCGAACCGCGAGTGGCAGATGTTTCGGGAGCAAAAACACCTGACAACGAGGACCCACCCAACCAGCCGAGCGAATCGCACGAAAACCAACCATCATCGCCGGGACATAGCTCTTCGAGCAACGTTGGTGAAGAAACGGTGCGAAAAGGTAACGAAACGCAAGTGGCCACTGTGGAGGCATTGATATCCGTGGTGAAATCGCTGCCGGAGCAACTGCTGGGCCCGTTCATGTCGGCGATGCAGATGTTATCCCCGAAGAGATCCGCCGTCGTCGACCGGTCGAGCGAAGCCGGTGTTGACGCGGCTGTCAAAACGTTGGTGAAAAACGGGAAAGAGGTGAAAGAGGACTCGAAGTCTGCCGAAGGCAAAAGCAAAGAGGAGAACGACGAAGACCGCGCGAGACTTCATCCTGCGGAGAAGATTGCCGGTGATAGGAGAGACGCTGCGCTCGAGACAACGGAATCTGCGACGCCCGAAACGACCGCGACGGTCATCAAAAAGCTGCGAGAACTCGAAACGGTACGTAGATGCGAGAAAGACGGCGACGTTGTCCGAACTAACGTGAAAGAGGGGATAATAACGGCACCAGAAAACTCGGAGGAAGCGAAATTTGACGGTAACGAGGTCTCGAAGGATCCGTTGAATCGGGACATGGTCGCTGCGATATCCCCGACCGTGGAGACAAAAGGTGCAGTATCTGGGAACAATGTGGCACAAGTAAGTTCGCAAAAATGCACGAAGGAAGTCGCGGGCGACTCCATCGACAGCGTCGAGCAGCCGGTGGTTGCCGATCGTGTGGAAACGGAGGACTCCGAGCGAACAACAGGTGAAACTTTGGACGTCGACGCGAACATGCTAAGCACCGATTCACCTCATCAACTCGAGACACGCACAGGGAACGAAGAATCATCTGCAAAGGAAGCGAACGGCTCTTCCGGGAATAATGCTAAAGACCATCGATCTAACAATGCGAATGACGATTCAGCTATTAAGCATAGTTTAACGGGGCATAACGAAGTCATTGACGCGCTATCATTATCAGACGAGACGTCATCTTCATTGGAACGTGACTCGGAAACATTCGATCGTGATTCATCCGACATGCGAACGCATAACATCGAAGTTCAGAGCAGCGATGATAACCGTGTGCAATTGATTGGTACTGGTAATAAAAACTCCGCGGAAAATATACTCATCGCGGAAATTGATTGCAGTGCTAATGATTTAACTAATTCCTGCGTAACACTCGCGACCTCGCTTCCCGTTATCGAACCCCTCGTTCGCGAACCGTCTAAAGTCGACGATCGGATTTCGAGAATTACTGGAAACGGAATTTCCGAGGACGCCAGAGTTCTCGTTGAAGTTACCGATGAACCGAAAAATGTTGCGCGAAGTTTTGTAGATTCCAAAGCCGTCGAAATTTCAGAGGCTTCGATAATCGATGCTCGCGAAATTATTGAAAATCCGGAGAACTTTAAAGCGAAAGTTTCTAACGGAGTTAAATGTGCTCCCGAGATTTCTGTACAGGCCGAAGCATCGGAGCTCGAAGTTTCGGAAAATTTTGAATCTGCGTCGGAGAAAATTTCGACGGACAGTGAGAACCTTGGCGAAACAACGCCCGGAACATTAGATACTAAAATTGTAGAGAATCTCGGAACCGTTGCGATCGAAGCTCCTTCAAACACTAAAAACGTTTTCGAAAAAATTTCCCAAGACCCTAAAGCTCCTATGACTGAGAAGTTCGAAAACTCCAAATTTACCGCAGACGAGGTTTCTAAAAATTCCGAAAAGCTTCAGACACAAGTTCCCCGACACCCTGAAAACGTCGTCGAACAAATTCCCCCGGATCTCGGAACCGTTGCAAACAAAGTTCCATCGGACACTGAAAACGTTTTCGAAAAAGTTTCCCAAGACCCTAAAACTCCTATGACTGAGAAGTTCGAAAACTCCAAATTTACCGCAGACGAGGTTTCTAAAAATTCCGAAAAGCTTCAGACACAAGTTCCCCGACACCCTGAAAACGTCGTCGAACAAATTCCCCCGGATCTCGGAACCGTTGCAAACAAAGTTCCATCGGACACTGAAAACGTTTTCGAAAAAGTTTCCCAAGACCCTAAAACTCCTATGACTGAGAAGTTCGAAAACTCCAAATTTACCGCAGACGAGGTTTCTAAAAATTCCGAAAAGCTTCAGACACAAGTTCTCCGACACCCTGAAAACGTCGTCGAACGAATTCCCCCGGATCTCGGAACCGTTGTGAACAAAGTTCCATCGGACACTAAAAACGATTTCGAAAAAGTTTCCCAAGATTCTAAAGCTCCTATGACTGAGAAGTTCGAAAGCTCCAAATTTACTGCAGACGAGGTTTCCAAAAACTCCGAAAAGTCGCAAGAAACGCCCGTGAACTCTATGCCCCCGGTCGAAAAGCTTGCAGAACTTCCCCGAGAATCCTACGATAGCGCAACTTCCCCAGAAGATAGCGAAACAATTGCAAACAACGTTGCTGAAAAAGCAGCCGAGGATTTCGAACGCGTCGTTCATGAAATTCCGATCGATCCTGAACCCGTTCACGAAATTTCGGAGAACTCTGACGCTGTAATGCAAGAAGCTTCCGAAGATTCCGCAGTCAGTAATCAGAAAACTTATAACGATCCGAAGCTGGCAACCGAGGAAATTTCGAAAGACCGGGCTGCCGTTGTTCGCGAGATATCCGAGAGTCCCAAAGTTTCTAACGAACCGCAAACGCTTCCCCCTGAGATCTCCAGGTCCCCGCTGCATGTGCGCGAAAAAGTGGAGCAGCCTATCTCCGTTGCATGCCACATTCCTCAGCCCGCTGATAAAATCGATACCCGTCCAATAATTTCCGCAAGTAAGTCGCTCGGCACCGACGGGAAACCGGGAAGAAGCGAGCGCGCCGTATCGATGTCCATCGACGGAAACAATGAGGTAACGAAAGACGAGCCAAAGAATGATTTAAATAAAGCAGAGGCAGCCGAGGATCTGGAAAAGGATTCAAAGAACGAACATTCTGCGGCCGTTCCGGCCGATCGAAGCACTCCAGCGTCTCTGGATCCCTCTTCAATTCCAAACGAGATCGTCGCGAATAAAAGCCCCGAGGCACTCGCGGATGCCGAATCGACGATTTTAACTATTTCGAGTGACTCTCGTATTATTGGTCCGCGGCCGAACTTGCATACTCCGGACACCGAATCCGTCGTTAACAAGCTAAATTCTATGGGCGCCAACAAAATTCCAGAAACTCTTGTCGATCCTAATGATATTGCCGATACATCGGCAAACATGTTGACGTCCGCCTCGAGAACAGAAATTACGCCGGCTGCACCGGATTCGGTAACTTCTTTTAACAAGCTCCGGGTCGCAAAGGATTCGAATAACAACGGGTCGGAGCCGATATCATCCGAAACGGAGGCGGCCGAGTTCGAAGACCGGAAATTACAAGATTCGAAGCAGACAAAGTTGAGCGTAGCTAGTTTCAAAGTGATCGACTGCCAGCCTGAGATCATAGAGATCAACATAACCGAGTGCCCGATGATAGCGGTGAACGAATGCGCGCCGATGATGAACTTGGAGAAGGTGTCCGAAGTTGTGCCGGCTGGGGAATCGGTCGAGTTTACCGCGAAACCCGAGATCGAGACGGAAGAAGCGATCACGGAAGAAAGGTTGAAGAGCGTTGGGAACAACGAGGACGCAAACGAGATCGAAGTCGTCGTTGAAGCGCCGATTAAGGAGAGATCGAAGTCTCCCGGCAAGAAGATCTGCAGGAGGAAATCGCCGGTGAAGGTGTTGAGGAAATCGACCGGCATACCGAGGCGGAATTTCGGCAGGGTGAACCCGAAGGGGGCCGGGTCGAAGGGCGCCGCGCGTGCGAAAGAAACGGCGGCGGAAATAACTCGCAAATCGATCCCGGCGAATCAAAGAGCAGGGAAAAGGGAAACCGCGACAAAGGGAGACACGAGGACCACGAAAATCGCGTCGAATATTACGGCGACGAGCAAAACGAAAGTTGCGGCGGGTCAGAAACAAGTTCACAGGAGTCCGGGATTAATTGGCTCGGCGGCGGCCACGGAAAAGAGATCGGCGATCCTGAAAACTCTATCGAGGGGCTGCGAGCAGATTAAAAAGTCGATTATACCCGGTTTGTCGAAGGACAGAAACGCGGGGCCGGAAACCGTCCAGAAAAAAGAAGAGAAACCGAGAGGCTCTTTTCTGTCGAGGATCCCGGTGTTTACGGCGAGGCGGCGTCCGCAATCTGCGAAAAGTTCGCAACCTTCCGTGGGACTATCTGGCAGTTTAAATGGCACCGCGGCGAAGCCGACGAGCCGGCAAACTGCGGGCGAAACTGGTTCATCGGGAAACACTTCGAAGATGGAGGCGAGACAGAATATTGGCTCCGATAGAACCGACACGGATTTAGCGGGCAGAAAGAAGGACGTTGCGAGGGACGCGAACGGGAATAATAAAACGAAAAACGTTGCGAAGCGAGTGGAAGCGCCTGTGTTGATCGAAGAAGCGAACGATGGCTCGAGCGACGCGGACTCGAGCGAAGAGTACACGCGAGAACTGGAAGAGTACTCGGACGTGGAGGTCTCCTCGGACTTCGAGAGCGCCGCGGAATCCGAGGTGTCCAGCACCGACAGACAATACTCGGATCATACCCTAGACAGCATGGAGGAATTAACGGATGCCGAGATCCGGCTGCAGGAAACGATCAACGCGATAAAGGCAAAAATATCGGATTCCGAGACCGAGGACACCGGAAACGAGTACAGCGACGTGGAGAGCCAGAGAGATTCCGATTCCAGCGGTTCTCTCAACGACAAGGTAGATTCTAATAGCGTTGAGACAGACGATCCGTCTTTGGAGGAGGAGAGACCGTTGGATGATGCAGAGATCGATGGGACGTCCGACGAAGATGTAACTTTGAAGGCTGACGACGTTAACTTGAAACAGATCCGGGCGAGGACTGACCTAGGAAAAACGAAGTTAGAGGAGAAAAGAGGCTCGCAGAATTCAGCGAAGTCTGTCAAAAAGGAGAAAGCTGTGGAGCCTACGGCGGCGATCAACTTGAACAAGACAAATTCTAATGGCGCGATGGAAGAAAAACTTGCTAGATCTAAGAAGAACGAGGTCAAGGTTGAACGTGTATCGGATTCGAAGGCTGGGCCGAAGGTAGCGAAACGCGTTAACGAAAAACGGATGAAAACGAATCGCAGAGCTAGCACGGGCAGTGATAAGGGGGTGGAACAGGAAGGGGCGCCGAGAAAACGGTTCTCCCTGGTAGCCAGTTGTATACGTCGGTTCGAGGGTGAAGAGAAAACGGAAAGGGAGTACGTGGAAAGTACAAGCGGCTACGTGAGGACGGGGGGATGTCCCAAAGCGGAGAGGGAGGTCAGTAAACGTCGGTTGTCAGAATCACTGTGTCGGCCTTTGCCAATGTCTACAAACAGCTCGAAATATGAAGCAAACGAAATGCGAGACCGGGGATATCCAAGATGCTCCCTAAAGTTTTTTTAACCCTGTTTTGATCGTAGCTTGTGTTAGACCGTTTTCGTAGACCTTGTAACTGGGGTAAGTACTTCGTCTCTTCTTATCGTGGCTAATCCTGCTGCCGAGGTGGCGTACATATTATTGGAGCCGGGAAGCTAGCTTCGAGGTTTGTATTGTGCTCTGAGATGAAGATCGATTGTTCGATGCTAACGGCTTAGGGATTCATCGTTATGATACATCGCCGCCTATTAACGCATTAATACTTCCAGCATAGTCGAGCCCGCAATTCACCTCATGCTTAACAGTGTAACATTAATATTCCGATCATTGTCGGTCGATGTTGCTGTCGAAATTTCAAGAGCTCGTTTCTAGACGTTGGTGTAATCTTTTCTATCGTTCCTCTGCATGGTTTTCCTCCCCGATTTCTTCATCGCTCGCTGCGCATCAATCTATTCCGAAGTCACTAGCAACCAACGAACGAACACATTCGTATAGCTTTATCATTCTTTCTTACACCGAAGAAGAATCTTCGATGCTCGCAAGTGTCGACGACGAAATACGTCTGCTCTTTCTCAAGTCGGACGTTACGTGTATTAACTTTAGTTCCCGTTAAAGGGTCTTGATCTTTGTTTCAGGATTACGCTTTCTAACGTGCGATTAATCTTGAATTCGCAGAGAATAGCACGTCGTCTATTGGCCGAGGGCAAAGCGTCGAACTACGATGAGGCGGAAGTCGCTGCCAGCTTGTTGGCTCTAAAGTTCGGTGACGTGGAGGCGCTTCATGCAGCCAAAGAGTGTTCCAGCGTGGAATCGGCGCTCGCATTTTTGCAACAAGAGTGCGAGCTTTGCACTGGACGCTTCGCGATGAGTCAGGTGAAGAGAATCGCGCGGGTATCTGGTTCGCTATAAAAATGAAGAGATCAGAGCCTAATTTTCATCCTCAGATGGTATCCATGCTGAAATGCACGCACCGGTGCTGCAACGAATGCGCGAAGAACTACTTCACGATCCAGATCAGCGACAGAAACATCACGGACGCGGTTTGCCCTTACTGCAAGGAGCCAGAGTTGAAGGACGCCAGTCAGGACGAAGTGCTGGAGTATTTCAGTAACCTGGACATCCAGTTGAAAACGCTTTTGGATCCACCGATTCACGAGCTTTTCCAGAGGAAGCTCAGGGACAGGACGTTGATGCAGGATCCTAACTTCAAGTGGTGCATTCAGGTACTGCGTCCGTTTGCATAGAGATATTCGTTTCACGTAACGGGTGAGTAAAATAGATCGTCGATTTCAGTGTTCGAGCGGATTTTACGCGGACCCGGATCAGAAGAGGCTGATCTGTCCCGATTGTCGATCGGTTACCTGCGCCTTTTGTCGGAGACCGGTACGTGCGAGTGTTGAAAATTGCGCGGAAATGAAACCCGCGCGTTACGCAATACGCGCCGTAAACATCATCTAAAGCAGCAGTTTCATTTTCAGTGGGAGAAACAGCATGAAGGAATTACGTGCGAGCAATTTGCCGCTTGGAAAGACGAGAACGACCCGGATAACCAGGCCGCGGGCTTAGCCAAGCACCTGGCGGATAATGGCATAGACTGTCCGCAGTGCAAATTTCGGTACTCCTTGTCTCGGGGAGGTGAGATCTTAAAACAACATTCCCTTTCCCAACGACGCGCGCGGTGTGGGTTTAAACGCTCGCTGAGAAATCTCTCACCAAGAACGAAATCGCTTAAATTCCGCAGACTCTGCAATATTAGGTAGACCTAGATGATAAATTACTGGCCGACAGCCAATTTCATAAAGATTAGTCTAAAATCGACTTCTGCAGAAGTTCTTTTTTTCAAATTGCGAGACTAGTAATTTCTAAAACACGAATGAAACGATCCCACTAAACTATGGAGCGTTAAAGCAATATCGGATGGAAATTGATAAAGTTCATATTTGGCGCAGGTTGTATGCATTTTACGTGCAGCCAGTGCAAGTACGAATTTTGCTGCGGCTGCGGCAAAGCGTTCATGATGGGAGCGAAATGCACGATCAGCCTGTACTGCGCGAAACTGGGCCTGCACGCTCATCATCCGCGGAACTGTCTGTTCTATCTGCGCGATAAGGAGCCCGCGCAGTTGCAGCAGTTGTTGAGAGATAATGGAATCGAGTACGACACAGAGGGTCCGGCCGGGGAGCGCAAGTGCAAAGTGCAGTTGCAGAAAGAAACTCCCACCGGTGTTGTGGACGCAGTGTGCAATTCAGACGTCGTTGAGGGACACGCCGGTTTGTGCAGGTAATTCCTCCCTCCCCAGCTCGGAACTTTGCATGAGTTGCCTTTATCAAAGTAGTCTCTTCAGCGGGACGGTAATGTTACAATTAAAGAGATTACAAAAATTTCTGGCTCCGTAATTACTACGATATTGAAGCGGTCTATATAGACTTCGCGAAAGAAACACGGATAATGAGCCACTTAGGCATAGACAAGCTAGTATCCTGCTATCTTTAGAACCGCTTCGTTCTTGTTCTCTCTCCAAAGGATACTTTCAAAAGTCGGGCAAAGAACTTGCACAGTTCTCTCCGTTTCGTATGTAAGCCGCGTTCTTTTGAAAACTATCCCAACGTTCCGTCAGCATCGCTGCCAGCTTTGTCAGGTTTTACATTTGATAAAGTTGGATAGCTTTTTCCAGAGGACGCGGCCGACAGTTCGCGGTAGTCTGGATTCTCTAAAAGTATAGTTACACTTGCACCGAAGGTTTTAACCCCTTCCTTCGACACACCTTCACAACCACTCCAGTCGTGCCCTAACGTAGACTTCCGACGTTCAAGGATACATTACATCGAATACCTAGTCCGAACGATTCGTAAGGCCCAGTTGGAGCCACTCTCGTTGCTAAACGTGGACGATCTTGAAACATGCGCGAGACGCGCCGGTTTGAAGTTACCCCCAAACTGGTACGGTCGCGACCCGGAACATTATAGGAGGGATCTCAGCCAGGTAAACGAAGAAGATTCGTGCACAGCACGACTAAAATTGTGGGTACTTTTCCCCGCAGGCAGCACTACGTTGAATACTTGGCGGGCCTGGTACTGAAGGGCAAGCTGGACCCCGTGGCAATATTTGACTTGAACGATGCCAAACAAGAGCTGCGCCGCCGGGGAAAAGTTCCCCCTGCGAAGGACCAGGAAATGTCCGAGCGGGATTATCTCGAGGCGTGCATTCAGGTGACTAACAACTCCTTTCCTGTATCTCCTAGCCCGACACACTGACCGAATTAACAACATGAAACGCATGAAAGTGGACCTCCGCGCATGACTTTCGCAACCGAAAATTCGCGTCCCATCGAGCAGTCTCTAAAAAGTGAAATCGAGTACAGAATCCTTCAGAGTCAAATTTTCCTTGCTTGAAAGTGTAATGTATTCCTTTTTCTTTTACCTTGGGAAAAAAAGTTGCATGAGTTAGGTTGCATTCATGATCGCTGGGGAATGCAGCGTTTGACTCTGTTCCAGGTTGTACGAAAAGAGATTCCATTGGAGTGATGGAAGGACCATCGGAATCATACATTGCACATGACGCTCTTATGCTCTCTGTGCACGTGTTGTATAGTGTATTTATTTTATTATACGGACTGCGATGTAGAGACCTATTTGCAATTAAAGTGAAAACAGATTTAACGTTGTGTGATATTTAATGCGAAGAAGCAATATTGTTTTCAAAGATGAATCACAGGTGTTGTTAAAGGAATTATAATAAAAGGATACCAAGTTTTTTGTAAATGAAACGGATACGATATTTTTTATGTTGTAAGTAACAATTTATAGTGGTCACGATATTTTATAAAATATTTTAATAAATCATCAGCAGAACTCTGTTAAGAAACTGTGCAGACTTTTTCCTTTGTGAGGCGTTGCACCATGGTTTACAATATCTTTTAATCGATTTATATTTAATTTTTTTAATTTCTGAGTTGGTGTAATAAAATTTGTAGTGCTTCCTACTTTCTTCGTAGCTGTTTCTTGTAATTTTATCGTACCAGTTTCCATACTTAAATTTCCAGGAATATTTAAACCCGCAGTTTTATCCTTGATCCTCTTCTTCTTACGTTTTTGCGATGCTTGAACGCTTTCATTATTAAATTTAGGTAATTTTTTTCTTGGTGGTTTATCAAAAGGTATCCTAGTACTTTTTAAGCATACCGAACATTTAATTATTAGACAATTCATTTTACTTTTTAAACATTTCTGCACTAAACTTTTGTGAAATTTAGATACAGGTTTCTTATAGTTATCCATGGAATGTATAATCTTTCTAATGGATCTGGAAAGTGGCTTGCCTTTCGATATCCTGATTCTATGATCTATCGTATTCCAAAGTGATCCGCAATAAGGACACATCACTGATGGGCCAAAATTTTGCAATGGCATTTTCACTTTTTGGTTAAATGTTCTACATCTTTGTCTGAAATAAAAACATTAAGCACAAAATTTTAATAATTTATCGATTCAAGTATGTGCAGATTCTGCATAAGCAAAAACATTTAAAACTTACATATAATACGTTTGTAAATTCACACTCTGAGAACAATTCAATTTCGTAATAAACTGATTTACATTCCACAAGTGTGTTATTTTCTCCATGTTAGATATTTATAGATACATTATCGGGAAATATATCAAATTCCTGTTTCTGCTTTGGAAGATACTTGGACAAATTTAGGCTAAAACATACAATTCATAGATTTTTCTAAAATTTAGATTATTAGTTTGAATTACACTAAAATAGATACTAACATAAATGATTCGAACTTAAATAACTGATTCGATTTTTCAGAATAAAAGAAAGCAAACACAATATCAATAGCTCTTCTAATTACTCATTGATCCAATACATGAAAACAAACCAGTGACAGTGACTCATCCGTTCGGAAGCTTCGTAAAATATAATCTCGTCCCGAGCAGAAACGATCGAATCGCTTTGAAGTGTGTCGGGACAGCGATTGATAAAGGCTGGTACTATGTCCTCTGGATAGATTACACAGATTTGCATTAAAAATTGTTGATTTTTGTCTGGGAAAAAAGTGAAAAAGAATAATCTCAAAATACGATCACGTCAGAAACATCACGAACTATTGAATAACAGTGCAGCCAACGTGCGAGGACGACAGAGCATCTGCAGAATTCCTAAACCAATCTGTCGGAGGTCGCCGGTATCTTAATGCGGCTTGTATCCGCTTAGTGAAACGGTTGCTGTTCTAGAAACAGACAAAGCCGCGGAGGGTGTCAGAAAAATTTGTATTTTGTCATCCTTGTCATCGGTGCACCGGGAGTACTGTCAAACACTACTTTAAATAAATTGTTGGGCGATTAACGGCTCGACATGGTAGAGGGCAAGGAGGGCGAGCGACAGCCGTTATTAAGAAGGGAGCATGATAATTACAGTTCACATAGTTCTGAGTTCTTAGGTAAATAATCATTTTCCTCTTGGCTTGTATTGACTAAATTGTTTAATCCGATTGCTTGTTTATAATATCTTTCAGATGAAAGCCTAGTGACGGTTAATACTGTGTCCCCAATTGGTCCCAATGAATTACCTCCACCCTATGAATCACTTAGTGGAAATGGTCTGCCTATGGTTACATGTAGAGTTTGTCAAGCTATGATAGATATATCTGGTAAAAGAGATCAACATGTTGTCAAATGTTGTCGATGCAACGAGGCTACAGTAGGTTTAAGAATAATTTTCCTAGTGCTACAAATATACATACAAAAACTAAAGATGTTAATTATTTTTTGTAGCCTATAAGAAACGCACCACCGGGAAAGAAATATGTTCGTTGTCCATGTAATTGTTTGTTAATATGTAAAAGCTCCTCACAACGTATTGCATGTCCAAGACCAAATTGTAAACGTATTATTAATCTCGCTCCAAGTCCAATTACACCACCTGTTTTATGTTTGCCTGGAATGTGTAGAGTATGCTGTGCTCACTGTCATGATACATTCTTGGTAAGTAGCTTATGCAAATCTGACATCTATCTGAATTTTAATGTATATTCTACTCCTTAGTTTAACACGTTAAACAATGCGTTGGCTCGATGTCCACATTGCCGAAAGATATCTTCCGTTGGACCAGACTTTGCTAGAGGTCGAGCTATTGCATTTTTAATTGTTGGAATCATAGCCTTAATAGTTGCGATAGCTGTGACTGTAAGTCTTTGTCAGACAAGTATAATTTACAAATGGATACTTAATTTGTACTCTAAATTATAATTAATTGTTGTCATGTTTTCTTCAGGTTGGAACATATATGTATGCGAAAACTCATGGTGGAATTTACGTGGTTTATGTCGGCAAGTATTATCAAGCAATTCTAATGTAAAAAATTATGAATAACTCTAGACAAATTTATACCATTTCAGGTGCATTTTTAGCAGCACTTTTGTGCCTGGGACGCAGCATTTATTATTTCACAATGAAAATTAGTTTGATAGAAGGTCCTATGTAGTCCTCTAAATGACAATCAGCAGTTAATTCTTTGAAACCGATTCCTTTAACATCTATGTCGTATAATAATATATTTAGATCAAATGTTTATAGTAATGACAAAAAACATACAAGTCCTGCTAAGATCTAACTGGTAGATATAAACATTCTTATACACGTATATGCGGGTTTGTATTGTAACATCGCTCACTTACAAATATTCTCGCATATGCATATACGAATATACGTGTTACGGACGAAGAGAACGTGTGTCCGGTATACGACACTCTCTCATATAAAATAATCTACCTAGAATTGCTAGATGGAAATGGGGATGTTCATTTTAAACAAAAAGGATTGTTCCTCTGCACTTTTATGTATAAAAGCACAGGACCAATGCAACAGCCCCATGGACTTGTTTTCATATTTGAAGAAAAATATACTATATATGCTTTCTACATCTACAGTAAACATATAAAATGCACATAGGTATAAATGTAAGTAAATAAAAAAAGAACACATGAATACTATTCCAATCATAAACAGCTATACATACAATTATATAAATTGCGTTTCTAACACTGTACTTGCGATGTCGTTAAAGGATTTTTTATAAATCAGTATCACTTTAAAGACATTTTTGGATTTATTTATTATTTGACATGCAAGTAAAATTATATATAAAATACAGATATTGAATGTTATCTTGTATTTTATTACCAGACACTACTGCATGATCCAAATTATTTAATTGTTTCCCCCCTTGAAACTATAAATAAAATAATTGTATTAAATTATAATTATCAAAATTCGAGATATTTATATAAATAATTATAAGAAAAATTTTGAATATATCATTTGTGTTTATTTTTAAAAAATCCTTGTTCATCAATATATATATATATATATGTATATGTAAGAAGATCAGCTACAAAATACAGACTGAATCACACCATTGATGAAATAACTATTAAATAAATACTTTTTCAAATGGTGTCAATCCGTTTGCTGAACTTCCCTGAATTAACATATACATATGTACCAGCAGTTGTTCTGAAAAAGAAATTAGAAGTCTGAAGAAAATACTTGCAGTGATATCTGTGGCATAAAACCTAAACTGCTAACGGGAAAGGTGTTGTAGCTAGAGTCCTCTGGTGACAAATACCAGAGTTACAGATCCAAACTTGCTTTGCGTATTCGACTTAAGTTTATCTTTTAGGACATCATTTGCCGCCAAAACCAGCAAGATGATTATACCAATTAAAAGGTATTTCTATATTTATTAAGATGGTGAAACGCTTTTCGGATAATATATAAGTTTCTAATAATTTTACAGAGACGGCGAACTTGAAGAATGGGCAATCGTTGAATTACAAGGCGATTTAAAATTCGATTCTGCAAATACTACAAATAAATATATCGCAGATCTTCACTTTACAAATTCTGGTACACCAATATTAATAATTGGTATTCACGTATTACACGGAAAAGAAGTTGCGCTTCCAAAACCATTTGCTGTTTTAGAAAAAAAAGCTAATGGAACCAGTATAGAGACAGATGAATCTGAAGTAAAAACTGAGTATATTGTAAAGGCCATTGTGAAAAAGAAATTAATTTTTAGATCAAGACCAAAACCTATTATAACTAATGTTCCAAAACGTATTTAAATCTGATTCAAGTATAGCATCAACAAAACAAATCTTAACAAATTTAGAAAAGCATTGTACTTTTATTTCATTGTCATCTTAACTTAAGAATAAAATATGTTAACTTAAATTGAANTAATGACAAAAAACATACAAGTCCTGCTAAGATCTAACTGGTAGATATAAACATTCTTATACACGTATATGCGGGTTTGTATTGTAACATCGCTCACTTACAAATATTCTCGCATATGCATATACGAATATACGTGTTACGGACGAAGAGAACGTGTGTCCGGTATACGACACTCTCTCATATAAAATAATCTACCTAGAATTGCTAGATGGAAATGGGGATGTTCATTTTAAACAAAAAGGATTGTTCCTCTGCACTTTTATGTATAAAAGCACAGGACCAATGCAACAGCCCCATGGACTTGTTTTCATATTTGAAGAAAAATATACTATATATGCTTTCTACATCTACAGTAAACATATAAAATGCACATAGGTATAAATGTAAGTAAATAAAAAAAGAACACATGAATACTATTCCAATCATAAACAGCTATACATACAATTATATAAATTGCGTTTCTAACACTGTACTTGCGATGTCGTTAAAGGATTTTTTATAAATCAGTATCACTTTAAAGACATTTTTGGANTATCACTTTAAAATCATTTTTGGATTTATGTATTATTTGACATGCAAGTAAAATTATATATAAAATACAGATATTGAATGTTATCTTGTATTTTATTACCAGACACTACTGCATGATCCAAATTATTTAATTGTTTCCCCCCTTGAAACTATAAATAAAATAATTGTATTAAATTATAATTATCAAAATTCGAGATATTTATATAAATAATTATAAGAAAAATTTTGAATATATCATTTGTGTTTATTTTTAAAAAATCCTTGTTCATCAATATATATATATATATATGTATATGTAAGAAGATCAGCTACAAAATACAGACTGAATCACACCATTGATGAAATAACTATTAAATAAATACTTTTTCAAATGGTGTCAATCCGTTTGCTGAACTTCCCTGAATTAACATATACATATGTACCAGCAGTTGTTCTGAAAAAGAAATTAGAAGTCTGAAGAAAATACTTGCAGTGATATCTGTGGCATAAAACCTAAACTGCTAACGGGAAAGGTGTTGTAGCTAGAGTCCTCTGGTGACAAATACCAGAGTTACAGATCCAAACTTGCTTTGCGTATTCGACTTAAGTTTATCTTTTAGGACATCATTTGCCGCCAAAACCAGCAAGATGATTATACCAATTAAAAGGTATTTCTATATTTATTAAGATGGTGAAACGCTTTTCGGATAATATATAAGTTTCTAATAATTTTACAGAGACGGCGAACTTGAAGAATGGGCAATCGTTGAATTACAAGGCGATTTAAAATTCGATTCTGCAAATACTACAAATAAATATATCGCAGATCTTCACTTTACAAATTCTGGTACACCAATATTAATAATTGGTATTCACGTATTACACGGAAAAGAAGTTGCGCTTCCAAAACCATTTGCTGTTTTAGAAAAAAAAGCTAATGGAACCAGTATAGAGACAGATGAATCTGAAGTAAAAACTGAGTATATTGTAAAGGCCATTGTGAAAAAGAAATTAATTTTTAGATCAAGACCAAAACCTATTATAACTAATGTTCCAAAACGTATTTAAATCTGATTCAAGTATAGCATCAACAAAACAAATCTTAACAAATTTAGAAAAGCATTGTACTTTTATTTCATTGTCATCTTAACTTAAGAATAAAATATGTTAACTTAAATTGAATTATGAGTATAGATTAATCTTTCATTTCTCCTTCTTCATCTTCTTCTTCCACACCTCGTATGTACATAACATTATTACACCTGATTAAAACTTCGCCGAGATTGCCAGTACAATTTCCATCTATATGTTCCTCTGTGTTGGCTAATTGCAAATTCATATATCCATCAACAGATACAAGGTAGCCTTTGTATTCATGACCCCATTTTAGTTTTACCATCACTGGTTTTCCAGTCAAACCATTTAGAAATGGTTTTGGATTTATTGGCATTGTCGCAGCCATCATGTAAATTTATTTAGCACTCTGCAAAAGATAATTTCATTAATTTTATAACACAACAGCATAAAAAAGATTAATTTTGCACTAGATAATCAATTCAATTGATTTAAATAATCAATAAAAAAGATGTAACTGCAATGTATGGTTATAATATATAATTAAAATAAAGGTTAGGTGTTCAAATCATCATGATTTGATCGAAATTAAATATCCTGTTAACGTGAGATTACATGCTTAATTTCTATTTGCAGTATGAACTGTTATTACTTACACGAATAAACGATAAATATTAAAATATCTTCGAAATCTTATAAAGTGTGCTGAAACTTAACCGCTCTGTTTTGAAGCGTTAGCAACTGCGTTATGAATGGCTGCCACTACAACAAAATAACCAACAGTTGTCAAATATTCGTAATACGTAGAATTTCTAAGGATTGTTCCATACATACAATACGACTGCAGTTGATTAAACTACATATATATAAATAATATACTTTTCATTCCTCGAACATTTTCGATCAAATTTAGCATAAAAAATCGTAGTTATCCAACCGAACACGTTTTTCAATAAGGAATTTATATCTTTCAGAAGAACTAACTTACATTTCCTTAAACATGAATATTCTTCCAAAGAAAAGGTAGGATTAAATTATTTGTATAAATGTTTAAATTGTACTGCTCTAAAATACTAAATTTTATGTAAATGGTGTTCATTAGGTGGCATGTACGAACAAAAGAAAATATTGCTCGTGTGCGTAAAGATGAAGCAAAAGCTGCAGAAGAAGAAAGAATCAAACAAGAAAGGGCTCAAAAAGCAGTAAGTATATATCAGTATTAAGATAAAATATGATTATTATTTGTTATTGATTTGTTCTAGGAAACTGAAGCAAGGATTAATTTTCTAAGAGAAGTAGCCAGGTCAAAATACGATGGACGAGAAGACTCATCTAAACTTGAAGAAGCATCTACTTCCAAATTGGAACATGTTAATTTCTTTGCTGATCTTGAGGAAGGAAAAATTGACTATAATAAGCCTAATGCAGAACACGAGAAAGAAAAGAAAGAGGAAAAAGAAAAATATGAAAAGCAGATTGGCTACCTTACCTATCTTGGACAAGATACTAATGAGGCAACAGGTAAAAAAAATTGGTATGAGGAGTTGCCTAAAATAATTACAGAGAGTGAAAAGCATATAGAAGTACAATCAAAAAAGAAAGTTTTATATGATCCAATACATGATATTAGAAAATATTTGAATATTATGGGAGCTGATTCTGCAAAGAAGTCATTGAAAACAGAGTCAATTCCTATAAAAAGGGTAAAAGAGGAATTAGAAGATAGTGATTCAGATCATAAAAGTAGATCATCAAAGAAACATAAACATAAAAAATCTAAAAAACATAAAAAAGATAAGCACCACGATAAAGTAGTAATTCAAGAAAAACCAAGTATGGATATAGAAAAATTAAGAGCAGCAAGATTGTTGAGAGAACAGAGTGAGAAATTAAGAACAGAAGCATTGTTGGCTAAAATAAGAGGAGATCCGGTACCAGTAGTGGCTCCTGAAACTCCTCCTAAACCTGCTATCAAACAGAAGTATAATTCACAATTCTTTCCTGAAATTGCCAGGCAAAATGCTGAAAGGACTCCTAATGTACATTCATTGAAGAATTAGTGTAAAGTGTAAGTTGATCTTTATTTTATAAATGTGTAGTATTTAAGGCTACTTAAACGTTCAAAGATTACGATTATTATAATTATGTAAGCATCCACCTGTGTACAGAGTATTTGTGTTCTCGGTTCAAGTACTGACAATAAAACATTGATGAATCAGTTTTTAAATACAAGATTCCTAAAGTAATTCTATCTTATAAGTACAATACAATACACAAATAAATCAATGGTCGAAATTTGCATTTTTTTTTTAATTGTCAAATGAACTGTATGGTACTCCTTGCGAATGGTTTGATTACGCTAGATTTCGTAGTATCACGTGACGCAAGATGGTGGAATATCACGGATCTCATGGATAACGCTTTAAAATTTAACGTTTATGTCATTTTTTCAGTATTCTTATTCATCACTTGACTGAAATTTTTTAGTCGTAAGTAAAATTCTTTTCTTTTCTAACAGTGTATTAAGCATTGTACTTCTCTCTTGAAAGTATCGTTTGAAATCTCGAACCAGACGCTTACAACGCGCGAGTTTGCATTCGCTAAATATGATTTTCGAATTTGAACATCTGTGAATGTGCTTGATCGTCAAAAGATGACAGTGTATAAGAAATTCTCTTTCGTTTGACGGAAATGTAAAGGCTTTGCTTCTAACATGATTGAGAAAATGACATTTTTAAGTCATGCTACTGATCGACCTTAAGATAACCTCTTCGTTAATTTATACGAATACCGCCGTTTTGAAATATGATTCCGAGTAATTTTTCTATTGCATAGCCTTTATAAGGATACTCACCTCTGGCATGCTTCATAAAATATTTTAGTTGTAAATATAATTTAGTGTGAGAAGAGATTGAGATTGTTTAGTTTAGTGGCTTACAATATGATATGTTATATACAGTTAATAACTGTACGAGAATGTGTTTCTAAACATTTTCAGTATATAATACAAATCCTGTTTTATTATTAACACGTTAAAATTCAATCAGTAACAATGTTCAAAATATCCACTTAGTAGAGTAAATAAAATTTCACATCTTTTTATTATTGATAAAATTCTGTAATAATTCTATGTATTTACATTTCAGACAAAATGTTACTTTTAATTTGAATATGAAACGATTCTATAGACATGAGTTAATTAAATATTATTATCACAATGAATGAAGAAACAGGCATTGAA